AAATTACGTTGAGTAGGTACAACGTATTATAGTAATAATGTGAATTCCCTTCGATTAGGGTAAAAAACGAACTAAACATGTCTATGAAGCCTATCCTTAAGTCCGTTCCTTGATGGGTTAAATTGCAGTTGGATAGAGCTGTAAACACCTTTCCGTCAATCATACATAAAATAAGTTTTGAATTAACATAAATAGTGCATTGGACATCATCTACTAATATACATATTAACTTCTGTTGGACGAATCTTTGCTATTTTCACATTGAGACGCTGTCCCTCACTTTTTATCAAGTCAGTGGTTTCTTTAGCGAACATTAGTTTTATAGGACGGTAATGGCGAGAACAACTCGGAGCGGAATTTTGATCACGGTTGCCAACCGTCCCGTTTTCGGCGGGACTGTCCCGGATTTAAAAACAATGTCCCGGTCCCGGTTCGACAAATGCCGAGACGCAGAATGTCCCGTTTTTTTTGCAAGAAAAAAATCTAGACATTTTGTTGAAAAAAATTTAGAACTCTTAGGGCCGGTTACTCAATGTCTGCCTAACACTAATCTGCGATTAAACATCGTTTTCGACGTCTTCGACTCCATGCATATAACAGGTAGGCGGTAACGTCGATAACTATGTTTAACCGGAGATTAGTGTTAACCAGATATTGAATAACCGGCCCTTAAAACATGTACATATATTTTATAAATCCTATTTACTGATCGTCACTATACGCCGTATTTTGTTTTCTACTGCGATTTCCTGCAGACTGTTTCATTCATGTGTCTGCGTGTGTGTGAATCGGTAACAAAGTTCTGTGCGGAACGCTGGTGAATGATATTTTTACTATCGTGAGACACTTTGCCAATCTGCTGTGTGAAACGAAATCTTTTTTGACAGCAGTAAATTTTTGACAATCGCAGAAAAAAATACTATAAATTGAAGTGAAATAAGTAATAAAAAAAACGTCTACAATCATTGACTGCAATTCATCAATTTAAGCTTTTGATCAATTTAATTTTAACCAATTAAAGCTTTTAAAACATTAAATAAATTTATTTACAAGAAATATTTAATATAGTTTAATGCTTCTTAATTTTTGCCACCAGAAACTCCATTTCCTAATATTTTATTGTTTTTGCTTAAATTTGGGACAGAAAAATGTCTTTTAGAACGCTTTTATCTACTTGCAATGTTGTATGTCCAGACCCCCATTTTATACTATAAATATAGCAAAGGTATTTATGGCAAACCTTGTCTAGATATCAACCTCGTCGTAGGTATCATATGAAAGACATACAATTAGAAAAACTCTAGAGATAGATGTCGCCTCGCCAGAAGAAGTTAAAAATATGCACATACGCTACAGCGGAAATGGACGACACGCCATTTCTTTAAATGAAATTAATTGCTGCTATATGTATGTATGTATATATGTAGGCATATACTAAATGTGAGCAAACAACATTTTGCTTGCATAGTCTTCTGTTCTCTTTTCACTGCAAGTTGAATTATTTTAGTATCTATTGCAAAATTTTATACAGACAAGACTAAAAAGTATAAAATAAATTTAAAAAAAGTTTTAATGTACCACGCCTTTATAAATGGACTAAAATTAGAAATTAATATTTCTCAGTCCCATAGAACTTGTTTTGATAACTTTTGATTTTGAAATTTCAGCAAAAGTCATTATAAACAATATATGAGATTGAAAATTAAAAGCGTGGGGCGCATGTAATAGGCCTGATTTGAAATTGAAGAGTAATATATGTATGTATGTGGGTATATTAATAACGACCGCTTAAAATCGATCTCAAATTTGTACTTTCGCTGTAGAAATTGAATATTGTCAATTAAATCGAATGCTTTGTATTGCATGCGCTCCACGTTTTTCGTTTTCAATCTCATAAATTGTTTATAATGACTTTTGCTAAAATTTCAAAATCAAAAGTTATCAAAACAAGTTCTGTGGGACTGAGAAATATTATTTTCTACTTTTTAGTCCATTTATAGAAGCGTTGTATATTAAAAAGTTTTTTATTTTATTTATGTATTTCCTTTTTCAGCTGTTTAACAGTTCGCTGGTTAAAACGCCATATCAAAAAAATGCAGGCAAACAAAAATTTTTCCTTTCATATATTTTTAAGAAATACAAAACCGAGAGTCTGGCAAGCCTGATTCTCTTACCGCTCCCAATTTCCGTAAGGCCGTAACTTAAGAACCTAAAATCTACAGGTTCTTAAGTTTTTTATGGTAAGTTAAGTTTTAACTAACCGCCAACACAGTTTCTCATATACAGGTTGGTCCAAATATTAAGTTAAGTTGCGGAAATTAAGTCTAGACTAACTGAGCTTTGAATGTAAAAAATTTGTGTAATCTTGTCCCGGTGAATTACACGAAAGAGTCAAGAACGCGTTTGCTATTTTATTGACGAATGAATTTTAAACAAAGAATTCAAGCCGTGTCTGCTTGAATAAAACGTCATTTTTTACCAACTTCAAACTACAATGACAACTTGTATGTAATTTCCTGAGTTTTGCACATAGTCTAGACATTTTTTTGTATGTTTTTTGTTGTAGGATGTACTATATTTTTATAAAAAATTCCTGGAAAATTTAAAGTAAAAAATGTTCCATACATTGTGAAAAATTCTATGTGCTAATAATTTAGTGTGGCACTGTACATATTTACATACATATCGGTACCTGAGTAAAAGATCGACCCACAGTGTACAGCAGACATGAGCACTTTTTTGCCCGCGCAGTAGCGAAAGTGCGAGCGCGGGCTTGATAAAGGGAAAAACAGTTTACGGGAGGAAGGGTATGAAAAGTTGAAAAGTTATTTATATCCCCACCGACATCATGTTCTTCGCAGTACGCTCAGTATATCCAGTAAACAAACTTAGCTATTTTCTTCCACCAAATTTGGTCTCCATAAAGGACTAGTGTTGCAAGCAACGTTTTTTTGGGAATAAGGGTGTTGTGCAGCAATTTTATGTGGTGAAAATTATTTTAGCACTGAGAAAATGGATAGAAAAATATTGCAGTGCGCTTGAACATCTAAGGTTTAACTGAAATATAGATGTATTAAGAATATTTATTTTACTAATACATACCAATTTTTTTTTTATTTTACTGTGTCGAGGTCGTTGCACAAATATTTGTAATTTAGTATTTAAATTAATTGTGAAACATATTGAATGCACTAATTAAATTATGGGAGCGATTTATTCACACAGAATTGGAAATAGGGTTGATGATATACTTTAAATAAATTGTGAGTCTGCGAAAATATCTTTTCAGCATATGAATATACATACTTCTTAACTTTTTCCCGAAAATTTGCATACAGGCCCGAAATTATGCCAGTAACATTCAAATATCGTCGCTTTGATGGAAAATTTCCGTAAGCGTCATTTTGGCAGTTTTTAGTTACAGATGCAGTTATATATTTTAAAATCAGATATATCGCTTTTTTGTTAACTGTTTTTTGGATATCTTCTTTAGTTTCCGAGTAATTGACTAAAATCATTTGATACAAATTACGTTAGTAATGCTGTTGTACTAAACTAATCAAGATCTTTCAAATAGCATCATCTGTTTTTAAATATCTGCTTTAGTTTCCGACATATTCAGCCTTATCATGAGTTTCATTTTCTCGAACCGGGCCACCTTTTCACTTTTCGTTTCCGTGTATTCACTACGGTGGGTGAAAACATTTCTGGCGAATTTTTTTTTGGCGAAACTCACGATTAGGCTGATTAGTGAAAAGTATCGTTAATTTATAAAAAAATTTATCACATTTGGCGTATACGACAAAATTTTATTAAACTCATAAATGGTTGACAGTAAACTAAAAATAAGATAATATAAGAATTTCGTGAACTAGTACATAGCATTCTCCGACACTTTAGAGAAAATCTGTAGTCGAGTTTCTGAGAAATTACATTCCAAACTTCAATTGTGATTTCCCGAAACCTGCCGAAAGTAACATGCAACGATCTTTTATCTAGGCGACGATATAACATTTAGCTAAAATATGCATCTAAATAAATTATAATTGTCATTATTTTCGCAGTTGAAGTATATGCCAGGCGAGTAACAGGTAAATACATACATATGTAAGTATACCTAAATTAGCACCTTGAGCTTGTATAATTATCTCTCTCTAATGCATTAATTCTATATACGTCAGGACCAACGCCCGACGCAGTTATGTCTTTATTTAATAACGGCTCTATGACAAAATATTCAAGAAATATATACTTAGATTTTTATTTACTTCATTTCATACATTAATATTGACCTGATTTTTTTTTAATAAATACCAGGAATAAATATTTAATAAAAAACTATTTCACTTAAGCTTAACCAACTTTTAGTTGCTCGGAGCTAATTTTGGAACGCTTAATGAAATATTTTCATAGACGGTAAATGCAATCCTGGGTGCATCGTTAATGAGCTGAAAAACCAAAACAAATTAAATTTGTGGAATGGAGCCTTTTGAAATGGCCTTTACAAACGGCAATGGAATTTCCGTTTGCCTTCCATTTGGCATATTTGCGGGTTAAACCTTCAGAAAGTTACAAAAAAAAAAACAACATTGTTTTCTATTTTTATTATTATATATTTTTGAAATAAAAATACTCCACCTTGTACACCAGAAAATTTCTTTAAACCATCTTGCGCAGCAGTTTGTTGATATTATCTTCACGGTTACCGCAATCACCAACATCAACGTAGTGGCCACAGTAACTTCGAGGCTTTCTTGAAGTGGGATCCAACAGTGAATATTTCGTACGCCAAATAATTATAATTATAATCAACGCACTGAATATCGTGCGCTTTGTGCAATTTGCGTTCGATCACATAGTTGTCAGAGTTTGGGACACGTTGATAGTTGTGTTTGACAATTCCACGTTTGTAGATCAATTCACGAACTGTTATAAGATTTGGATAGCCCCATGTAATATACGGTTCGGCAATCCGTAGCATATTAATGGTTGCCTTGTTCAATTCGATGAACAAACCGTTGTTAATGTGGCGAAGATGGAACCACAGTAAAACTTTACGCACTTTTGGTGCAACTTTGTTTATACCGCAGATAAAGATCACAAAAGCCATTCTGCGGGCACGTAGACGGCGCAACTTCATCTCACGGCGTCCATCAGGAGATATGTTGCTTGATATTTCTCAGCATGCTCCAAATTTTCACGCTTGCAGAGTGCAATCACAGTAGAGCGCTTTAGTTTGCGCTTATCAGGGTAGCACATTTGCAGACCTGCTTCTTGCTTAACTTTATCTTCGACTCGCGGACAGCATGCAACTTCCTGGAAGGTAGTTTTCCCTTTGCTTCGGGCTTCTTACCGGCCCTGGTGGCAGTCATCTTATCTTGTCACTTAGCACGTTGAGAAGGCGAAAAAAAGTTCGCCAAATATTTGGAGCACATCTTAAATAATGCCACTCGATTTATAACATTTCTATTAAACACAAATTAATTTAGTTTATTACTTTTTTAATACATAGATATGCTGCAACCAGGCACTTACTTTCCCAAATTCCATCTTGCTTATAGGCATACTTTTCCAAATATGCCTGAGATGCTACTTCATACTAATAACTTCATTTTCCAACTGCGCCTTCTTTGTTGCTTCAACATATCCTAAAAAGACATAAAATTTACATTAAACAATAGAAATCGCAAAAATTGGAAAATAAAATACTCCCTTCATTTTGTTTTGTTGTCAAATTTCTGAGATATGGGAATTCACCACGATGCAATACAGAANCGTTTGCCTTCCATTTGGCATATTTGCGGGTTAAACCTTCAGAAAGTTACAAAAAAAAAAACAACATTGTTTTCTATTTTTATTATTATATATTTTTGAAATAAAAATACTCCACCTTGTACACCAGAAAATTTCTTTAAACCATCTTGCGCAGCAGTTTGTTGATATTATCTTCACGGTTACCGCAATCACCAACATCAACGTAGTGGCCACAGTAACTTCGAGGCTTTCTTGAAGTGGGATCCAACAGTGAATATTTCGTACGCCAAATAATTATAATTATAATCAACGCACTGAATATCGTGCGCTTTGTGCAATTTGCGTTCGATCACATAGTTGTCAGAGTTTGGGACACGTTGATAGTTGTGTTTGACAATTCCACGTTTGTAGATCAATTCACGAACTGTTATAAGATTTGGATAGCCCCATGTAATATACGGTTCGGCAATCCGTAGCATATTAATGGTTGCCTTGTTCAATTCGATGAACAAACCGTTGTTAATGTGGCGAAGATGGAACCACAGTAAAACTTTACGCACTTTTGGTGCAACTTTGTTTATACCGCAGATAAAGATCACAAAAGCCATTCTGCGGGCACGTAGACGGCGCAACTTCATCTCACGGCGTCCATCAGGAGATATGTTGCTTGATATTTCTCAGCATGCTCCAAATTTTCACGCTTGCAGAGTGCAATCACAGTAGAGCGCTTTAGTTTGCGCTTATCAGGGTAGCACATTTGCAGACCTGCTTCTTGCTTAACTTTATCTTCGACTCGCGGACAGCATGCAACTTCCTGGAAGGTAGTTTTCCCTTTGCTTCGGGCTTCTTACCGGCCCTGGTGGCAGTCATCTTATCTTGTCACTTAGCACGTTGAGAAGGCGAAAAAAAGTTCGCCAAATATTTGGAGCACATCTTAAATAATGCCACTCGATTTATAACATTTCTATTAAACACAAATTAATTTAGTTTATTACTTTTTTAATACATAGATATGCTGCAACCAGGCACTTACTTTCCCAAATTCCATCTTGCTTATAGGCATACTTTTCCAAATATGCCTGAGATGCTACTTCATACTAATAACTTCATTTTCCAACTGCGCCTTCTTTGTTGCTTCAACATATCCTAAAAAGACATAAAATTTACATTAAACAATAGAAATCGCAAAAATTGGAAAATAAAATACTCCCTTCATTTTGTTTTGTTGTCAAATTTCTGAGATATGGGAATTCACCACGATGCAATACAGAAAGAACAAGGACCAGGGATGTAATTTTAAGTCTTCAGTGGCAATGCGCAGAGCGTTCCGAGTAGCAAAATTAATTTGTATCAATTATAACATTAACGGTGGTTCCAATAAATTTTTTAATATTATTAATCAGAGTACATACATTATATGGTATTTCTTTCAAAAATTAATGCATATATGCATTTTTTTAAATATTTCTTAAGTTTCTCATTACTGCTGAAAAGCAACCCTGCGTGTAAGAAATTGTGTGGTACTTAAAATTTCACCTCTGGAAAATTTATTCCCATAAAGGACTTCACCACAGTTTTTTTACTGCATATACTGAGGCAGTACGGCTCACAGTGTAAGATTTGACCCATCTAGCTGCTTTTAATTTTGTAATTCGAAAACTATTGAAGATAGATTAATAAAATTTTGCACAAGGTACGTTATAAGATAGGCGAAGCTTTTTACAAAAAATCGGTCATTTAGAGTTACTGCCACGCCACCCTACTATATAACTGCAATTTATAAAAATGCAAAAACTGAAATATTTAACTAACTACAAAGGCTAAATTGCTTAAAATTGATATTTAGAATTTCCCTATAACAATGAATTATAAACTGGCAAAAATGGATTCAAAAATAATTTTTTTTTTTTAATTATGTGCGTGGAAAATATCGATAAAAAATCAAGTTGGGTCAACGAAATTCCGTTATAAGTTCAATATTTCTTGCTCTATTTACAAAAGTGGGATAGTATTGGAAAGGTTGTGAATTAGGCTTTCTNGAGCAGCTAAAATTGTGTTATTTAAGTCAAAGAGGAGTGGTAAATAAACTGAGATACAAACTTTATCGAATAGTGGCGGATAACGAGTTTGCGGGTCTAATGAAATTAATAAATTGCTAAAAATAAATCTAAATTAACATCGTTTTACTTTAACATGAAATACTCAGTCCTAGTTTACTAAAATCCCAAAAATGTATATTCATTAAAAAGAACATACCTAAAAAAATAAGACGAAAATGGTATTTTAGCAATTGTTGCATAAATCACAAAACACCGACAAATTAAACATTGAGATTCAGTTTCAAATATACAATTTTAAATAATACTGCGCTCGGTAATCTTCCAAATCGAATCCCGTCCCGCCCTACACTTTGGTTTAAATTTTATAATTGTTATTGTTTCGTCTTTACCAGACATTTCTAAAAACATTTTTGACGTTGTTTTGAAATTTGGCGACATAAAATAATGTAATTAATATTTTCTAGAATATGGAAATAATACACTGTGCGGCGGTGGCAATAATGACTTTGTGCACCAAACAAAGAGCGTAAATTTTCCTCATATACACAATAAGCCATCGTTCGGACTTTCCTCCGATAGGAGTAGATTTGTTCCGTTTGGTCGAAATAATTTGAAACCTAGTCCTCTAGTCCGCTCAACTGAAAATGCTCCGTTTTGTTGCATCAACAAATTTACTCTTCAAATACAAAGGTGGTGGGGTTTTTAATAGCAAATTAAAAGTAATATTTTACCTTTTTATTGACACGACTGTTACAGTGGTGAGCTACAGCACCTTTGCAAATACACTTGAATTTGTGAATAGGCTCTCACAATCACCCGTTTTGAACCCGATCGAAAAAGATTGCTCTGTCTAAAGTTCTGTAATTGCGTCGTTGCCCACCGATGTAACAATTGTCCCGGTAAAGCAAGAATGAAATAACTTTTTATTAATTTTAACCAATGCATTTTAACTTTAATGATAATTGCTCGCTGGGTTATAGGCGCCTTTACACGGGTCGATTTTCTAGTAGATTTTTGTCGTTCAACCGAAATCGACCCGTGTAAATGACATCTCAACCGTAAAATGTAAATGCTTTGGCTAGTCGATTTTCCAATCTACAGAAATCGACCCTTGTAAAGGCAGCTTTAGCCCCTTCTTTAGTCCTAGAATACAGTGATACGAGGAGAAATTAATTGTTTTTATTTATTTTTGTTCCCATTTTTCAGTCCGAACCCGGCAAAGAGCGTTCGATGCAGTGTTGCCGTTTTAGCCCTTTGGTGGCTAGATTGAGCTACCACATTCTTTTTTTGGCCACATAAATTTAAAATTGCCCCTAGCCCTTTTTTAAGCCCTTTGGAGAATTTATTCATACTATTATTTAAGAGATGAATTTTTAAACTAAGAAAGACTGATATATATACATGTATGTATTGTATGTTCCTTACGTTTTTATACATACATACTGTAAAAGTGTTAGGGCTGTTTTTTTAACTTATCTATTAACGATTTAACTACAGTTTAAAATAGATAAGTTTACAGCCCTTAGGGCCAGTTTTTCAGTGCCAGTTTAAACTCAGATTAAGTAAACTGAGTTTAAGTTGAACAGCTGGCTGACATTTGATTGGCTGATCTTAGTTTACACCAGCCAGATCGGGCATTTAAGGTTAGTTTAAGCCACGGCCGTGCACTGAAAAACTGGCTCTTAATATGCTTCATTTGTTAAATGGCACATCAAGTCGATTGACCATGTATGTTGTTGTGATTGTACCAGCTGCTGGTGTGTCTTCAAAAACTATTTGAAAATTTTTTTGCGGAAATTTCTTGCACTATATGAGTCAAAGCCGTGTGTGTGGAATATTAAGTTCACGATATTGCAGTTGTGAATTGAAAAAAAAAAACAATGTTTAACAAAATTATGAAATTTCGGCTCTAATCATTTCGATCCTTCTACGACCTCATTTGTAAAGAAATACATATTGTACCAGCATTGGTGGTAAGTTATATGCTTCGAGCCTGATAGAACAATCACTTGATCGAGCCAGCAAGCTGGTGTCGTATATTTCCCATATTATACAAAAAGGTTTTAGGTTGGATAAAATATTAGCTTTTTTCCAGAGTTCATGGTTTTTCTATACAATTACTTATTGAAAATGTTTGCGTGTATACTTATATATGATTATGTAAGCAAACAATTTTAGCTACCATTTTTAGCCACAACGACTTTTTTAGCTCTTTTTTAGCCCTTTTTTTAAAGGAATTTGGCTACCATTAAAAATGCTTCGCGGCAACACTGGTTCGATGAAGGTCAGCTAGTGATTAGTATTGCCAAGTTTTTTATTTAAAAAAGCACCAAAACACTGAAAAAAGGGCAATTTTCCCAAAAAAAACACCAAATTTGTGTTGCTGTGTTTAATGGTATATTTGCATATAAAGCTGTATGTTGAAATATTTTAAGTAATCACGCAATGTCACTTGGAAAAATATTTCCAACTCTGCGCAGTTAATTTAATCAATTTAATTAGCAAAACGTTTTTTTATTAGTAATATTATGTCCCCACCGAAGCTTAACCACGGTGAGTTGGTTATCCCGATAACCCACTTGATTTAGCGTGGTTTCGCCATATAAAAATTACAGCCTTAACCATTTCACTGAGATGGTTAACAAAAACCAACTCAAAACCACGTCGAAAGTCTGATACAACCCTGTGTTTTCGCGCCATCTGTGGGTCATTAGCGTTAAAATTGAAAAAAAAACGTTCCCTGCCAGTGTTCGGACTCAACTCCGATTAAATTCGATTTACAAAGGGTTTCGATACAAAAAAATCTACTCCGCTTGACTTCAAATCTATTCGGTTTTTTTTTTCAAAATATTCTGCCCCTCTTGTCCCAGTTTTTGAGTGTTCGCTACCGGGTTTCAGTAAAAAAATTAAGTAAGCCAAATTTCACTGATAGAAAGAAACTGGTTCATAAAAAT